CAAGTTGGTACAGCCACTTTGGAAAACAGTGTGGAGGTTCCTCAAAAAATTAAAAATAGAGCTACCCTATGACCCAGCAATTGCACTACTGGGTATTTACCCCAAAGACACAGATGTAGTGAAAAGAAGGGCCATATGCACCCCAATGTTCATAGCAGCAATGTCCGCAATAGCCCAACTGTGGAAAGAGCCGAGATGCCCTTCAACAGATGAATGGTTAAAGAAGATGTGGTCCATATATACAATGGAATATTAGCCATCAGAAAGGATGAATACCCAACTTTTATATCAACATGGATGGGACTGGAGGAGATTATGCTAAGTGAAATAAGCCAAGCAGAGAAAGTCAATTATCATATGGTTTCACTTATTTGTGGAACATAAGGAATAGCATGGAGGACATTAGGGAGAAGGAAGGGAAAAATGAAGAGGGGCAGAATCAGAGAAGGAGATGAACCATGAGAGACTATGGACTCTGAGAAAAAAAACTGAGGGTTCTAGAGGGGAGGAGGTGGGGGGATGGGTTAGCCAGGTGATGGGTATTAAGGGGGACATGTATTGCATTCAGCACTGGGTGTTATACAAAACTATGAATCATGGAACACTACATCAAAAACTAATGATGTACTGTATGGTGACTAACATAACATAATAAAAATAAATAAAGAAATAAACAAACAAATAAATAAATAAAAATTCCAGCCCAGAGGTCACCAACTCTGACTGAGCAAGCTAAGGAGGACCGATTCAGAGGTCTCTTCCCCTTACTCCCAGAAATAAAGACAAAATTTTGTGCCTTTTAATGAAAAAGAAGTGTGCACAGGAGTATTTTGAATATACAGGAGGGGTCTTAGAAGGAAAAATTATGTAAGAATATTACCCTCAGTGTTTCTATGTCTTTAATTCCCCTCCCTGCCCCCCCTATAAAATCAACAAGTCCCTGCCACTGACTTTGTCTTATGTCCCCACGTTTGGCCCCCAAGTTCCCCACCTCCTGTCAGCGTACATCCCACCTTCTTCTGTTGTTCTATTATCTGACTGAGATGCTCGGCTTTGAGATGCTCCTCTCCTCGCCTTAAATAGGATGAGGAGCTTCTCCACCTTTCCCACCTACCCGATTTCCACCTGGATCATCTCCCACCACTGGCTCACATTCGGCCCCTTCTGCCCTGGCAGGCAGAGGGGGCAGGGTCAGCTCAGGCCCAAAGCAGCACCCACGGATACTCCCTGCTCCTTTCCTGCCCCCTTCCTCTGCTGCCTCGTCTCCCTCGCATCCACCTCAGGTTGATGGTGTTGCGCGGAAAGCAGGAGTGGCAACAGGTACCAGAAATATCAGCAGTAAGGCACAACTTTAAGAAACATTTCACACCCCCCAGCACCAGCCAGAGGAGGATCACAGCATGAGAGGCACATAGCACCTTTGACCACACGATGGGAAACAAGGTCAAGTGTGCTTAGTTCCTGCTTCTCTCTTGTCCTTTTTCTTAAATGCTCCTTGTTAAAAGGATTGAATCATGGCCCTCCAAAACAGTACCTGTAAACGTGACCTCACTTGGTAATAGGGTCTTGGCTCATGATCAAGTTACAATGAGGTCATTAGGGTGGGCCCTGGTCTAATATGCCTGATGTCCTTATAAAAAGGGGGAATTTGGACATAGAGCCAGACACACACACACAGAGGGAAGACGATGTGGACAGACACGGGGACAAGGCCATCTATGAGCCAAGGAGCGAGGCCCGGAGAAGTCCTTCCCTTGTGTCTTCAGAGATTTTAAACTCCTGGCCTCCAGAACTATGAGACAATAAATCTCCGATGTTCTCAGCCACCCATTAGCATTACTTTGTTATGGCAGCTATAGGAAACCTACACTACTTCTTCATCCCAATACCCTTCTGTTCTCTCATTTTTTCTTCTCTCCTTGTTAGTTTCTGAACCTAACAATGGCAGCAGCTATATACACTCAGATCCCTTGGTAGTGAGGGACAGAAGGTGGAAAGGCTCCACAAAGAAGAATGAATGACTTTGAGTTGCCCTTGCTTTTCCCTCCTCAAGTCAGAAAATCAGTATACACCTCTATGGCCTTCCTCCCATTCCTAATTGTTCTAAATTTTTTCCACAGTCTTTTCCTGCTCAGTGCAAATTAGTGTGTTTAACACATTCACTCCATGGGGATTGCTATTGTTCTCTTTTTCCATTTTTCTTTATCCCAGAAGTCATTTAGTTGGCTTGCTAGATTATTTATCACTATTTTTACTTGTTACCGTTGACAAGCAGACAAAAATATCTCTTAAAGAAAAGCTTTAATGAGGAAAAGGGATTCCAGATAGAAAGATAAGGAAGGCCATATTCCCCGCCCCATCTCCACTCCTCCACGGAATTGGTTCGAAGAAAAATAAAATGAGAATACACACAGCCAGTAGCTTATTTTAGAACAAGGGTTTCTGCTAAAAGCAAGACCTCGGGCTTTTACCGAGTACATTAAGGTCTTACTTTTTGAGCCCTAATAACATTTCACCTTCTGATGCCACGGCAAATCTGCTATGCCAAGATAACTATATGTATTCAGTGGCATTGGCTCATTTATAGTAGCAAATTAAAGAAAAAGAGAAATGAAAGACACACGTGTACAGAAAAACAATTTCTAAATGGAATGTATGTCATGCTTTTCTTCCTTGTTCTCCAAATCATCAATAGGTGTGTATTAGGTCCCTACTTACTGTAAGGGCCGAGGTGAACAGTCCGAGAATGATGGTGAGCTTTCCCTGATCTATGAATGAGTATTCCAAAAGTTCACCCATACATTAATTTCCTTAATACTTAAAGCACACTTGTATTCATCAGTTCATCCACTCAACAAACATTTCTTCAGTGCCTATATTTACCAGACACAGCACGGGGTGCCAGGGATTCGGTATGAGAAAGGAGGCTTGGGCTCTGCCTTGCACTTACCCAGCAGGACACAGGCTAGCGAGGGCACAGACATTAGTCAAACAATCACAAGTGAAGCAGACCACTATGAAATGGGTCTGGTGCTATGGAAAGTATGGGTTATGGGGGGACAGAAGATGGGGCCAAGCTTAGGGGAAATGGGCCATCAACTAGCTTGGTCAAAGGGGTCAGGGGCGCCGCAGAACAGGAACATGAGGCATGAGGATGAGATGAGGAGGCGCCAAGGTAGTCAGGGCTCCAGGTCTAGGAACACTAACCCATGCTCGAGAACCTGGGAAAAGATGGTCATGGGGTACCCAAGATTGAGCGTGCACTGCAGAGAGCAGAGGCAACATTTTGACATGGACACATGTTTCTCAAACACTTTCCAAAATGCTTTCCTGCCCTCTCCACTGCTAATCCCGAGACCCTCATGGGCCCTTGAGCTCTGGACTCCAGCACTACTATCCGCAAGAAGACAGCAGGAAAGGATGGTCTCCAGCATGCACAACCGTGCCTGGGCATCTGTGTCTCCTGAAGCTCTCTTTCCTTGCAGCTAATCTCAGGAGGGAGATGGGTGAGCTCCTTTATAAGAAGGTAAAAGTATCTGAAAGTCTTTCTTGGGGTGTGTGTGTGCATGGGAGTGTGTGTGTGTGTGTGTGTGTGTTCCAACTGAAGGAACTTCAAGTAATATAAAAAAGTAAACTGAAAAATATCAGAAAGGGTAGAAGCAAATATTCTTGGGCAAGAAGCACTGCCTGGGAATCTAATCATGGGATCAGTTCTTTTTTCCCCCCAATATGTTTCTGTTTCCTACTTGAGCTCAGAGATTCTCTAAACATGGTGCCTGACCCTTCGCTATTAAGAAGCTACTCGGCCCCTCACATGATGTAATAGGAAGAGAGATATTGAGGACATAGACAAAGGTTGCCTTGTGGGGGGCTGCATATGGGGGAGGGAATAGTTTGCTGCCAATACAGGAGGAAGAGGAATGGGGAGATAGTGGTTCAGAAGGAGAGTCAGAGGGTGGAATGTCTACCATGGTTTTCTCCTACAAGGAACACAAAGATACGCCATATCTGGGGGCCCTTCTCAGTCCCACTTGAGAGGCTCAGGAAGTTGTCATGGGGGCCAGAGAAAGAATGATATGGGACCTATGGCTTTGAAAAGCTCCTCTTGAGTAAGATATCCAACTGGCAAGTGGTAGATCCAGCGGCTGGTGCCCTTTATCAACTCATTTGCACAATGTGATCACAGCCAATCACAGGTTGGCGTGCATGTCAACCTTGGGATGTCATGACTAGGATTCTCAGAGCAGTCACATGTTCAGAGCTGCAGGCAACACTGGGGCAGCCTTGCCACATAATAATAATAATAATAATAATAATAATAATAATAATAATAGCTAATACCTGGTGCCCGGCACTGGTTCATAGGTTTAAATGTACTAACTCACTTGCACCGACCTCTGAGGTGGGTACTATTTTTGTCCCCATATTACTGTTGAATTTTTTCTCAAGGTCACACAACTATCAAAGTGGCAGAGCTGGAATTCAAACAGCCAGTTGCCGAACCATGACCCTGGGCAGGTTACCTGTGTAAACAGAGCATTTTACATGAAACACCGCCTAGACCTTAAGGTGCACCAAGTGGACCAGTGACAGGCTGGGACTCCACCTGGACTGAGAACCATGCACCCTTGGGTGTTGCCGGAGTGTCTGTGCCAAGTGGGTGGGGCCGTGGCTGCCATCCTGGTGGCAAAACCACCCCCAACCTGGGGAGCCCCCTGACGCCCCACACCAGGCACCATAGCGACCAGTCTTCAGATACTACAATGTTACTACTTCTCGGTCATGGATACCACAATCCTTTAGAATAATTCTGCTGTTGGATGGTGTAGGGCTCCAGCTCCCAGACCATCTTCTGAAGGTGTACAAGCCAAAAGAGAAATGCACATCTCTTCATCCAGTAACCACATAAGGAAGTTTCTCCCGCTAGTGATTCAGAATATAAAGGGGAGACATATCCACCCTCCTCTATGTTCTTCCCCACAACCCCCAAATTCACTCACCTATTAAGAGGTCCCTAGCTGACTGGAGGGACCTTGGAGAGAAGAGCTTCAGGCCATAGACAACGTAAGTGGGAGGGTGCCGGGCTTTGGCCCCTGTATTAAGAAGCAAAATAAGGCCACACAGCACACAAAAATAGATTGGTCTGCTATATGTTATGATTTGGTTGTGTCCCTAGAAAAAAACACAATTTCTGAATGGTACCTATTATTTTGATTAACAAAAGCTTCATAGTCAGTAATTCACATCATATCATATCATATCATATCATATCACACAACTTATAACATAAATCACATTCTCCCCCCTCTCCCTCCATAATTCATATATACAAAACACCAGGAAAAGAAAAAAAAACTCTGATACTTATTCTGATAATTAAGAACAAGAATATAAAAAAGAATGTTATGCCTCTCAGACTCAACAAGATTTAGCCGAAAATTTAATTACCACCCTTAGATACAATCTAGATCTAATGCGATGCGTCCCTAATAGTGAAACATCCATTTGTATTGTTCATTTCAAGGGCAAAACGAAGATAAACCCTTATTTGCTCTACATGGTCTAACTTGAGCCCTGCTATTAATAAGAAACAGAATTATAAGTGGTGGGCTTTGATTTCCTTGTCTTAAAAAGCAAGCTAATACAGGTGCAAAGTTACACCGCAGAGATTGCATAGAACATCTTAGTGTAGCACAGGGGGAATAATCCAATTTTTAAAAAGTCACCATTTATATGCATTTTCCTTTGAGGAAGACCAAAAACTTAACAGATCTCATCTTAGCCATCAAAATATTGTTATGAGGAGAAGTAGAAACATTTTTATTCTTCTCCTTAAATAGAAAAATTAAGGAAAAGATATAACATCAAACTTTCCAGAGCAAAAGCCAATGAAGAATTTATATGTCACAAACCAAAGCACAATTCATAAAGTTCAAAAAACCAACAAAAATGAATTAGGGGGAGAATATTCTTTGCAATTCATGAACTACTTTGGGTATAAAAAGTAAAGATTAAAGTGATATGGGTTCGCATGTGAATATTTAAAGTCACTGCCTTGAACATAGTTATATTTAGAAATGCAATTTAAATTGCCACTGCTTCTATAATAGAATGGTCCTATTCTGAGACCATCTTTTAATAGGAAGGAAAACACAGGCTGTCCATGGGGACTGGCTATGTTTGGCCCTGAGTCCAGACTCAGTCTTGAAAGGAATATTTGCACTCTTCAGAAATTTCCTTTTGAATCCAACTGGGTCATAGATTAGTGGGTATGGGAATACTTTTTCTGCATTAAAAAAAAAATTGAAACTAAAGCCTAAGTGAAATCTTAATGCATTTCTTATCAAGTGAAAAGCAAACTAACTTGGTTGGTATAGACAGCTACTTAATATACAAATACACAAACATATGAGACATTCCTCAAAGTGACACCATTTAGGATATAAAATTAAAGAGCTGCCTCCCACTTGCCCTGATTCTTCCTTTTCCTAAAAGGTTAAAAATACATTTTCTAGGAATTGAAAGTCTGGTCTTGAACAAGTTTGTGATATCATCTTAAATCTGCCAAGTCAAAGTTTATTTATGGGCAGGGGAACGCTCCCTTCGTAATTGTAATTTATGAGACAAAACTTAAGGCTGGCTCCCTGACAAAGAGCCTGCTCTCATCATCATGCCAAAGCTTCGCTTCACTTCCCATTCTATGTTTTGGGTCCCTAAACCATTCTAAGCATATCACTAATGTGTGGCATAGATGTCACTTTTATTTTCCTTGATTCCTAAGAACGCCTACTAAAAATATTCATTCCCCTGCTCCCCAATTCCTTGTTTCACATATGAATCAACCATCAGACCCCTGAGGACTGATGTTTCTTTTTTCCAGTAGGAAAATTCCACTCGCTCCTCCAGGTGAAGTCTGATCAGTCTTTTTTTTTACAACTCATCCAATTATTTCCCGTGTGATTTCAACTTTAAAATACCCCGGGGGAGCACGCCCAGCTTCAGCTGTGGGGCATCTTGGAGGCTGTCCATATGTGCAGCTGGATTCCCCATCAGCCCCCGCCACACGTACAAGGTCACCGCCCCGCTTTGGGAGCAGTGCAGCAGAAGGGTGAGGTGAAAGAGTCTATCCACACCTCCAGGAACCCCCCCTCTGGAGAGTGGGGGTGCATGTGGCTAAGGGACGAGGCCATTAGAATTCTCCTCTTATCAAGACATCAGGCTGGTTGAATGTTTCAAACTTGTTAAGGAAAAAATAAAAGGCATTTATTCTAAGGAAGGGGGAGCTCAGAGAATCTGGAGTGCACTGGGCCTCGGCAGTGAGGAAACCCGGGCTGTGAACACCAGCCCATCTCAGCCGGCCGCAGGTGCCAGCTCCAGGCTCTCGGCCCGCGGGTGTCCTCTGCTTCCTCGGTCCGCAGGGCAGCAAAGGGCCCCCTCATACCTGTGGAGGCTGCACACCTGCTCCTCCAGCCATGTTCAGGGGCCCGGGATTTTTGCTGGCGGCTGTGAATTTATCTTACGCCAGGCCCCATGCTACCCACATGGTTAATCCTCGGTACAGCGCTAAGAAGTATTTATTATTCTCATTCTGCTACGAGTAAACTGAGGCATACGTTTTATGCCTTAATTTTTTGCCAAATTAAGAAATCTGCCCCCGGCTTCCCGGGCAGGAAGCAGTGTGGCCGAGCAAGGATTTGGCGGCTGGGCGCTGGCCACTACATCCTGGCTCCCAGCAACAACCAGGAAGAGGAGAGTATTCGCCACTGGGGCCTCCCAGGCCCAAGGACTCAGCCTGACTTCACAGAATTTCATTCATAATCATTCTTTAAACACATTCTGCAAAGCAAATATAGAGTGTGGGGGAAAGCATTAGCAATAGCTTTGGGGTGTTGACTTTTCCTAAGAGAGCTCTGGAGCGTGGAGAGCGGGGAGAACCATAACCCCACGTCCCGTCCACCGCTCTGGGACACTGTGTTAGGGACGCTGAACCCCCATCGCTAACATAGGAATGGCTGTTTCATAGTTTCTTGCGATGGTGCAGGTTCGTTTACTCGGATCTCATCTCTCCGTGCCTGTTGATGAGTTCTTTTTTACTCTAGCATTAGCAACTCAGCTGCCGTTTAGAGTCATCTGAGCGTTTTTAACGATACGTTTCAGTCGCCCCTGTGCGTGGAGCGAAAGGAGGAACGCTGCGGGGTGGGCACCCTCTGCCCTACAGAGAGCAGAGCCCCAGGAAAGCCTGAGCAGGTGAGTAGTCTGTGACTCCCCACCTGGGGTGTAGAGGAGAACCCAAAACATTCCAGAGAAGGCAGTAGAGGAGATAAGCAGCAACCAAAAGGCCAAATAATTCCTATCAGCTGACTGTTAAAATGCTACTTCCATTTAAATACGGTGGAAATCTGACCAGCTACTTTAAAAATTGAAAAGGCACAGGCAAATGAGTTTCTGTAAGCTCAGTTTATAATTTCATATAGTTTACAATTTCATTTCACAGAATGATGTATTTCAGGGCCAACTTCCTAGCTTTCAGGTCTGTGAATTTTGACAAATGGGTTGATTATGTTGTCCAACCAAGGGGGCAGCGAAGTGCCCAAGACAGTACCCTCAGAGTGGGGGCCAAGGTGCTGTCCGCTCTGCCCCCACCTACCTTACACATTTGCCCACTGCCTCAGCACTTCCCTCCGCGGCAGTGAAAGACAGTCGGGAGGGTGGTGACCTAAGTTCCGCCCCTATCTCATGGCAGAAATTCAGTAGATAAGAATTCAAAAAAGGCCATTTGGAGTGGCGCAGGCTTTAAAGAACACTTTTTTTGGAGCAAAGTAAATACCCAACTGAAGAGATAAACATAATTTCATTTTCAATCAAGAGCCACTAAAGACTAAGTTGACCTTCTTATTTCTAGGACTGAGGATTGAGAAAATTTTTGTATGTCATTCAAAATCATTCCTCTGATAAACACTAGGAGATCGTGGTAAGTCACGTAGACAGTATGTACCCTCAACATGACATGATGAAAATGGCTCTTCCCCTCTATGGTCTTGCTCCCACAGTTGTACAACCCCAGTCTAATCATAAGATAGAATCAGATAAATCCCAGCTGAGGGGTGGGCTACAAAATCCCTGACCAATAATACTCCCCAAAACTGTCAAGATCATCAAAAAATAAGGGAAGTCTGAGAAGCTGTCACGATAACTAAATGCAATGTGGTATCCTGGATCCTCAAGCAGAAAAGGAACATTAGGTTAAAACTAAGAAAATCTGAGTAAAATATGGATTTTAGTTACTAATAATGTATCAATATTAGCTCACGAGTTGTGATAAATGTGTGGGGTATATGGGAACTCTCTGTACTATCTTCCCAAATATTCTGTAAATCTAAAACTGTTCTAAAATAAAAAGTATATTTACAAAAATCATTCCCCAGGCACATGGGTGGCTCAGTCAGTTAAGCGTCTGCCTTCGGCTCAGGTCATGATCTCAGGGTCCTGGGATGGAGCCCCACATCAGGCTCCCTGCTCAGCAGGGAGTCTGCTTCTCCCTCTGCCCACTCATGCTCTCTCTCTCTCAAATAAATAAATAAAATCTTTAAAAAAAAATCATTCCCAGTGATTTTTAAAATAACAGGAAGTGGTACCAAATGTCTTCACTGTATAGTAGCCAGAATTGATTGAATAGAACACATAACAAGTTACAGCCCTTGCTCTTTGGAGTTTGTACCATGAGCAAGGAAACAGGAAACTTACTATATTATAGGCCCAGTGCTGGCCTCATTATATATATTGTCCAATTCACTCTTTACCAAATCCAACTGAGGTTGCTCTTATTATCCATATTTTGCCCACAAAAAACTGCTAAAATTTGTCAAGTGCTTCCACAGTACCAGGTACTATGCTGAGCACTTGACTACAGTATCTTCTTGTTCAATCCCCTTACAATCCTGTTTCATGATTTCCTCTTTTACAGGTGAAAAACCTGAGATACATAGAAATAACTTGCCCAAGATCTCTGGGTTTGTACATGGTAAGGCTGGATTCAAATCCCCAAACCTACACACCACCCCAGGGTTGCTCATGTGGCATCTGAAATCACCACCATTATCATCACCTGGCGGCGGGGGGGGGGTGTGGAGATTCCCAGGTGCTGCCCCAGCCAGACCCACTCAGAATCCCTGCAGGTGCTGGAAAAGGCACCTGAGTCTGGCTCTGTGCAGGACATGCCCATTTTTTGCTGCCTCTTAGATATCCTACTGAACTGGGGCGCCTCGTGGCTCAGTCGTTAAGTGTCTGCCTTCGGCTCAGGTCGTGATCCCGGGGTCCTGGGATCCGGCCCTGCACTGGGTTCCCTGCTCTGCGGGAAGCCTGCTTCTCCCTCTCCCACTCCCCCTGCTTGTGTTCCCTCTCTCGCTGTGTCTCTCTCTGTCAAATAAATAAATAAAATCTTTAAAAAAAAAAAAAAGATATCCTACTGAACTTTGCTTTCTGGGTGATCATCAGTGGTTACTGTTGGTTAGACCTGTGTATAGATCTGGATAAGTCAGTGAAAAGCCTCATCATCCATTATTATATGGCGAGTCTCTGATCCTCAAATGCTGTCAGTATCCACCCAAACTATCAATTTTTTAAGCTCTCCTATAAAAGTTTTCTTTTATAACCAGATGCATTTCTGTCAGGCCCAGGGTCTGTTGTACCGTATCTATTAACACATCATTAATCCTGCATTTATATCTGAAATATACAGAGTGTTTGTATTTTTGCTATCTTCTGGTTTGAACGGCTGGCTCAAAATTCGCCACCTGTGTGCTCTGGAAGGAAACAAAGAAGAAACATCAGCCAATTGCTCTAAGAGCAAGAATTGACTGAATTTGGTAAAAACCCCTTCCCGGCAACGGTAAGCAGCCAAAGCAGCGTAGTTTCGAAAAGCATCACGTGATGCCCAGGGCTAGAATTGGCGGCGGGCCTGAGAGCCGCCTCTGTGCCCAGACTTGGTTTGCTCCCCTGACCACCTCCTTTCTGAGGTTTTCACATTTATAATCTGGAGATGGTGCATCCGCCTTCTCAATGCCCACCTGGCTCAGGCAGATGGCAAGAGGAAACACTGTAGCTCCCGTATTTTCTCTTCCCACTAGAACTGTGAGCAAACTGGCAATCCAAATCGGGGGCTACTCTACTGAGAAACCTGTGTGAGCAAATTAATAAACACATGTCTGATTACGACAGTAAGAGAAGTCATTTCTAGATACTCCCTGACTCTGCACATGCTGGCTCACATACAGGGATAGCTGCTTGACCGGGCCCTTTAGGAGCTAGACCACTTGACGCACTGTACTCCAGTTTAGAGCAATGACAGAGGGGGGCTGCTACCAGCCACGACAAATCCACGGGGATTGAGCAGTTGTCCTCACCATCACCTCTCCTAGCATGTTCTGCATTATTGCGGAAGGTACCTACAGGAAATGAGTGTTTAATAGCATCTAACACCCCTCCCCCAAGTCACCCAAGAAAGCAGTGACACTGAAGTGCCATTACTAGAAAGGAGGTTTTATTTCCTGAAGCAGATGGAGGGGGATGCAGCATCCAATGTGGGCTCCCCATCTCTGCACACACCACCTAACCCAGATTTCTGATGATAATCACAACAATACATCTTAATACCCTAATTATGCTGCTTCTACTTATCTTGACATTCAGACTCTGGACTAAAAGAAGATGTATTATATGTAAACCAATTATGGGGAACAGAGGAATTTAACAAGATAGCAACGTATGCCATGTGATCGTCCAATTATAAGCTTTTCTTAATTACTATGAGCTAAACATGAGCTATCACAGATTTAAAAGCATTCCTAAATACTGGATATGAATTTTTTAAAAGCACAATGGAGGGAAGATCAAGCTTTCTTTCTCTGGAAGGGTTTCGGCTGGGGGCGGGCACAGCTCACCATAACAAAGGAAAGAAGGTCCTCAAAGAGCTGAGAAGTCCGCCAGGCAAGGGCTCGGCACAAAGGTGTGCAGTTGGGGTACCTGCCGGGACCGTGCCAGACCCCGTCCCCCGGCACCCCGCAGGGGCAGGGCAGCTGGGTCAGTGGAAACCATGCTCATAGAAGGACGCGGGAGCACCAACAGATCAGTATGGTGAGCCCAGAGGCTCCGCTCTAAGTTAGCCCAAAGTTATGTGGACGAAAAGTAACAATACTCTTGCAAAGGTGGAACAGGAGATCAGCTTCATGTAAAGAGCATAATGACTAGTGCTTACACAATGATGTTACCAGGAATGCTAGCTCCCGCTCACTCAGCAACATCTTATTCAATCCCTAGAGGCATTTTCATTATCCTTGTTGACATGCAGAGAAACAGAGACAGGGCAAGTACACATATCCTGCTCAGGGTCCAACATTCAGCGGAGGAACCGGGAAACAGAAGCAGGCAGTCTGACTGTAGAGACCAGTCGTCACCCCCTGGGCTGCACGGTTGGCCCTGACGTGAGGCCAGTGGGATAGAAAAGACCCTCTGCATCCTGTTACCCCCCTTTGCCCCCTGACTACCACCCACACCACGCTCTCAGATCTAGCCCAAATTTGGCAATCATGCATTCATATTTCTATTTATATATTCACTATACGTACATTGATATATATTTTGCCTTTTGAATAGGTTTTGTTCCTCTATCTTTAACACAAGCAGACAAGATAAGCTACTTGCCCGTTATTTGAAACTTACGTGGATTGGCGAGGCGGGGTCAGGCTGAACGCTCTAGAACAGAAATCAGAGGTCTCTGTGTCATCATCTCATGATTTCAAGGGTACATTAGTGATGGTAAGAATTAGAGGTGGTCTTGCCTTTAACAGGGAATACTGGCAGCTGGCCATGACAAGGCAGAAGAGGAGCACCCACATGTCCTTGCAAAAGCCTTGGTTCAATGTCAGAAATCCGAGGAGGGAAACCAGGACAATGAGTAGAACTGCCAGCACATTTTCCTTGACATCTTCCGTTCTGTGTAAAATAAACAAATGAAAACAAAGGAGATAAAAGGTAAGCCTATTTCTAAAGATAATACCTGAACACAGTGACAGCAGAGTAGTCGCCTTAAGCATGCCTTTATATTTGGTAACAAAATTTTAAGGTTTCTTTTCCTTCTTTCCTTCCTTCCTTCTTTCCTTCCTTCTTTCCTTCTTTCCTTCCTTCCTTCCTTCCATTCTCCCTGTATTTTATAAGCAAAATCCATATTTTAACCCCAGTTTCCTATTATTGAAATAAATGAAATATAATTCCACTGAGTCTCCGTTATCACTAAACTGGGCCTCCTGGGGAAAACAGTTAACTATTCTGTCCGCTACGTGAAATGCGTTTCAGACAAAGAGCTGCGCTGGTTCCTTTCGATGGGGGGAGGGGAGGAAGTGCATTAACACCTGGCTAAAGCAGGAAATCCTTTCCAGATACAAGCTCTGCAGCCAGAATTTGCTTCCCAGTTTCCAGAGCCAGGAGAGCTCCAGCCAGAGAGCTAACGTGCAGAGGGTCTGACTGAGGTGTGTCATGACCAGTCTCCCTGGGTGGTGTTCTCTTGAGGGACCTCTGGGCTCATCCAGAGAGGGGTGCTGTCACTGAGTGTGAAGGGAGACAAGTAAGGGAGCTTGAAGATGATGAGACAAAGGGATGAATGCTGGATCTTGGAGGCTAAGTAGGATGGGGAGGCAATGAGGATAGGAGAAGCTGCTAGATGAGAGCAAGTGGTTGGATCAAGTGCTCGGGATGGCTGGGCAACATTTGAGGTGGGATTATGACTTTAGAGGTGAAAGACTTCTATGGAAGGACAACATGCCGGGCATAGTGATGGGAGGAAGAGGCTGAAATGGAGTAAGGGAGTATGGTGTCGACTGCAAGTTCAGGAGCATAGATGGGTCATTCCCAAGAATTCTGAGCATATTTTTTGCCTCACCAATTTTTGCTCATGTACATACATTATTGTTAGGAAGGGATTATTGTCTACTTCATTCCTGGCAAGTGGGCACTTGTGAGCATTTTTTTGTAAATGAATAGACATTATTTTAAGAGCAGTTTCAGATTCACAGCAAAATTGAGGGAAAGTATAAAGAGTTCTCACATAGCCCCTCCCTACAAACACACACACACACCCTGTCCCACCATTAACATCCCCCACCAGAGTGGTACATGTTATAATCAGCCAACTAACAGTGACACATCATTATCAACCGAAGTCCATACTCCGCATTATGGTTCATTCTTGGTGTAATACATTCTGTGGGTTTGGACAAATGTATGGTGAAATGTATCCACAATTATAGTAGCCTGCAGAGTATTTTTACTGCCCTAAATATCCTCTGTTCTGCCTATTCACCCCTGCCTTCCCCCAACTTCTGGCAGTCATGGCTCTTTTTGCCATCTCCACAGATTTTCCTTGTCAGACTGTCAGATAATTGGAATCACACAGCAGGGCGCCTTTTCTGGTCAGTTTCTTTCACTTAGTAATATGCATTTAAGGTTTATTTGTGTCTTTTTTAATTAATTAATTTTTTTAAAATATTTTATTTATTTATTTGACAGAGACAGCGAGAGAGGGAACACAGGCAGGGGGAGGGAGAGAGGGAGAAGCAGGCTTCCCACTGAGCAGGGAGCCCGACGCAGGCCTCGATCCCAGGAATCCGGGATCATGACCTGAGCCGAAGGCGGACGCTTTAACGACTGAGCCACCCAGGTGCCCCAATTTATTTATTTGAGAGAGTGTGAGAGATCGAGAGAGAGCAAGAGAGAGCGAGCAAGGTGAGAAGCAGAGGGAGAAGCAGGCTCCCTGCTGAGCAGGGAGGCAAATACGGGGCTCGATCCCGGCACTCCAGGATCACGACCTGAGCTGAAAGACAGCCGCTTAACCAACTGAGCCACGCAGGGGCCCCTCTTTGTGTCTTTATATGGCTTGATAGCTCATTTCTTTTTATCGCTAAATACTATTTTACTATATGGACGTACCATGGTTTATCTATTCACCTATTAAAGTACATCTTGGTTTGTTTCTAAATTTTGGCAACTATGAATAAAACTTCTATAAACATCCACGTGCAAGGTTTTGTGTTAACCTAAGTTTTTAATTCATTTGCACCAAGGAGCATAATTGCTGGGTCGTATGGTAAGAGTATGTTCGGTTTTGTAAGAAACCACCAAGTTATCTCCCAAAATGGCTTTACCATTTTGCATTCCCACTAATGATGAATGGGAGTTCCTGCTGCTCCATACCATTGCCCACATTTGGTGCTGTCAGTGTTTTGGATTTGGCCATTCCAATAGGTGTGTATATCTCACTGTTGTTTTCATTTGCAATTCCCCAATGATGATGTGGAGTATCATTACATATGCTTACTTGCCATCTGTATATCTTCTTTGGTGAGGTGTCTGTTCATATCTTTTTCCTATTTTTTAATCAGGCAATTGAGATGTACAGAATCAAGATGCATAGAAATGTGAAGAACTCAGATATTATGATGCTCAAGCTGAAAGTTAAAAAAAAAATTTCTGGGGGGGATCAAAATATATTTGGTAAAAAGGAAAATTTATGGGTTTTGTTTGTTTGTTTTCCACTATGCACTTCTTACAGAGCTAAATATATTTTGTTAGTTCAGGTCCATAAAATTCTTTATGTATTTTTTAGAGTGCTCATAACATTTTGATGTATACTTAAAAATATCTAAAGGCTTAGGAACTTTTAAAAAAAACAAAAATTTCAATTAAATGAACAGACTTTTTTCCTATTTAGGGGGAAAAATAACATTCCTGAAAAATATTTTTCCCCAGATCCTCCTCCAGCAGGACTCCATTCCTCTGCCCCAGCCCTCCATCATTCCACTCCCAAGGCTCCTCATGCCATCTCTATTTAAATACCAGATGAAAAAGTTTACTCACTGGGCAAGGAGTATCATGATTAAGGCTGTACTTTAGAAAGATTTATCTGGCAGAGGTTCACAAGATGCACTAAAGGGGAAACAGCAGAGCGAGGATAAACAACACTCCAGGGGAGAAATAATGAGGGTCTGGAAGAGGGTCAAGGTTGGGAGGCTGGAAAGGCAATGTGACTTTGAGACACAATACAGACCAGAGGGGAAAGGACTTTGAACGGACTGTGTACAGTGAAGGATTGACTGAAAGAATAAAGATGATTTCAGTCTGGGGAAGAAAGGATCGTGGCAGAGTCAATGGCAGAAGTTGGGAAGGGGAGCTGGTTTGCAAAGGGACATTGATTTGTTTGTTCATGCAAGACTGCTTGGCACCACTCTAGATACTTGGAATACATCAGTGAACGAAACTTCTGGAACTTTCTTTCCAGTAGGCAGTGGCATAAAATATGTAATATGCACACAAAAAAAGTATATTATATAGCATTTGGAGATGATTAGTGCAATCAAAAAATAAAATAGAACAAGGTGAGAAGAAGTACGAGCGTCTGAGTAGGGTTCTGTCATAATTTTCAGCAGGGAGGTCAGGCTAAGCCCCATGGAGAAGGGTCACTTCTCAAGTGTGCCCCACCTGGGGATTCCTACATGAAGGGGTCAGGAGGCACAGGTTACCTGCCGAGGTGATTATGGTATGAAGGAGTAACCAGCAAGACAGGAGGAAAACCAAGAGGGGGCTGAGTCCTGGAAGCCAGGAGAGGAAAAGCATACCAAGGAGGAGAATCGACTCTGTCAGAGGCTGCACATGGGTCTCGTAAAATGACGGCAGAATGGTGAGGTCAACGGTGACCTTGACATGGGCAGGCTTGGAGTCTGTCCAGGGAGTGAATGGAATGGGCTTATGAGAGAATGGGAAAGAGAGACCGCAAACGAGCACAGGCAGCTCTTCACGGAGTTCTGCCGCAAAAGAGCACAGAGAAACCAGACAGTGGCTGGTGGGAGAGTGGGTCAAGAGGACTTCTAAGGATGGGAGAATGAGAGCATGTTCTCAAGATGACGACGATGACCACGAGATCATTCGAGGAACAGGAACGCTTTTCCCCACAGCTTGTCATGTGGCTGACTTGTCCTTCTCTCGTTTCTATCTCCGTCTGCATGCGTCACCTCAGAAAAGGCTTCTGCAACCCCCTGTTCTGACATGAGTGTCCCTTCGTTCCCAAATTTCTCTACCTCAGGCCTTTGTGTGTGTCTTTCATGTGTCTCCCTCGTGCGGCAGAATTCGAGGGTAGGGTGCTAATCCTCAGTACCCAGTGCAGAGGAGCCTCGCACGGAGCAGGTACTTGGCGTTTGGGGCTTTTTAATTTGTTGAATGAATGAACAAAGGAATGAAATGATGCTCAGATGGGCAGCTTTTTCTTTTAGAGGCCAATCCGGAAAACTAGATAAATGAAAATAAAACCTATGTGTTTTGCAAGATGAGGTAATAGCAGAATAAAAAATAAGAGAAAATGAAGGAGGGGCGCCTGGGTGGCTCAGTCCATTAAGCGTCCAACTCTTGATTTCGGCTCAGGTCATGATCTCAGGGTCCTGGAGTTGAGCCCCATGTCAGCTCTGCACTTAGCAGGGAGTCTGCTTGAGATTCTCGCTCTCCCTCTGCCCCTCCCTGCCGTGTGCTGTCTCTCTAAAATGAATAAATAGATCTTTTTTTAAAAAGGGAGAGAGAAAATAAAGGAGCATAAGGACAAGTCCAAAAATATATGAGGAGAATGAATGCCGAACCGAAAGCAAACTGTAAAGTCTGCAATTATAAGAACCATGAAGGTATGATCAGAGAAGGAAGTATTTTCAAGGAAGATCAGCCTGAATTCCAGAGTAAAGTTGAAAATTATCAAGCAGAAGGCCTTAAGCTATGGGAGTTTATAGCGATGATTAGCTCAATTTTGGTGCCTGTAATTCACCAATTTCCTCTACTTCCTGCCCAACCCTTACTGTTTGTTTTTTATTATGCATACTTTTCCTTTATAAACCTTAATTTGGCAATTCAAGTTCATTAATCCATGTGGAGCTTTAAATACAAATGTCCCCCAATGAATAGCAAAGGTAATTTATTTATGCCTTTTGAAATTTTACTATTAGAGTAAAAAAATGTAAAATTTATTGTGTAAATTCCTGTTTTCTTAAACAGACCTTTCCGATCATCGCTGTCCTAACTAAGAAGGTGAGTTAGGGAGGTGTGCCATAATACAGACCTACATTGTCCTCAAGGCCAGGCTGAAGGGCTGACTTCTCATGCTTGGAATCTGTATTTTTACAAAGCTCCCAGGTGATTCTGATCCACAGCCGTGTTTGGGGAAAACACTCTCCTTGCAAAGGTCCCAAGCTGCTAGGTTTTTCCAGGTTAGTGTTTGGGTTTTTCTTCCTCTGTCCTTGCTGTTAGCTCAGGGTTCATGCTGTCTTATTTCCCCTCTTAATTGGCCATGAACTGGAAAACCAGATCCCCTCATGTGCTAATAGATGCCTGAAAGTCAGCTTATATGGGCTCTGAAGATGGGGTGATTTCTCGAATTAAGGGCCTAAATTTTAGTGTCTGGGCTTGACAAAAGCTACTTTGGCTGCCCTGATTTCATTTTATTTTTATTTATTTTTCTTCTTTCTGGGTTCTGGGAAAATTCCAGGTCATAATAACAATAACAGCATTTAAAGAACACTTTCTATGGCTAACTTGATTTAATCCTTGAAATCTCTCCCTATATAGATTATTCCCATTTAACAGAAAGGAAACTGAGGCACAGGGAGGTTTCACACCCATCCTTAGATCACAGCACTAGTAAGTGTTGGGCACTGGGCCTGATCCCCAGGGTCTTTCCACACCAGTTGAGGGACCCATGAGTAAGGGAGTGGTGCTGTCTCCACACATCCCCGAACACTGCCTTGAAACCCAGTGTGACCTGCAACAGAAGTGATTAAAACTATAAAACTCTAAACTTTTAAAAACTGCAATAATCTTCATCAATCTTTCTTAGACCTTAATTAAATTATCAGTTAATGTGTTGCCACTGAGTGGATTTAAGTAACACGCCTAGAAATCTGTAGAAATATTTGTTTCTAATTGAAGGGTTAACACAAGGTAATCCAACTTTCAAGAATTCCTTTTTAACAGAAAATAAAATTAATATTTCAGGAAAAAAAACCTGCCTCATCTAACAGGATGTATTATCTTGGACTAGTTCAGTTACATTTGAAATGTTCGTCTTGAGTGTGCGCCCCTGGGGTGACATAGCGTTGTTAGAAAAACCATTAGAACTCCATTCCCTGACTTGTGGGTCCTGAAATTTACTATTGTAATTTTGCATGACTATAGTTTTTTAGTGTATGATCACACCATTTAAGACATTACTATAACAAGTAGTCACTGGGGGACCCACTACAGCAAGGCAGGGAATCAGCCTTCCCACTGCCCCCACTGGCTGGCATTTAACCGTGAAACTCTGCATTGGCTGATGATGGCGTCAGTAAAGGCATCTTGGATTTTCAAACCAACACTCCCATCAGAACTGCATGGCCCCTGAAGATCAAAATCCTGTCCTTTGTATACCGTGAGATGGGGGTGGGGGGTGGGGGCAGAGGTGCAAATGGGAAGACTCTGACCTGGCCCCATCTCCACCATGCCTTAACTAACTGAACCCTCTCCTATCTCCCTCCCCGTCCACTGACTACTTCTCCAACCCCACACTGGATCAATGGAAAGAAGAGGCGAGAAATAGTAAAAGGGTTTAAAAGGAAAGACTAACATTCCAACTGGTGGATCTCTTCATTTGCCCTTGTCCCCCCCTCACCCCTGCCCCCCGTCCACGTCCAGTCGGCCAGGCTCTGTGCTACCCATGGAACCTCAAGCCTTCCTATGAAAATGTGGGAAGCCACGAGGAGACCAATGCATGACCCCATGCACAGGGCTAACCTTAAGTCTAAACCATGTTCCCCAATTCTCATATCTCCCACTGTCTCCAGTTGTCAGGATCTCACCGCTTCACCTTTGGGTTTGCAGCACAAAAGGTATACGTCTTGAAAACATTCCAGAGAACGCGAGCAAGTGGCAATTTCTTTTTACAAGCATGCAAGTGCACTCTTATGACCCCATCGTGTCTTTCATCCATGCATTTGTGTGCTCAGCGGCTTACCGATCAAGTAACGCCAACAAGGTAAGTCGATCGTACCAGACTTTAATCCACTTGCCAGGGAAAATGATAAACTTGTAAAACTGCTCTCGGTTAAATTTTCCTTGTGTTGAAGAACATGACGAGTCTTCCAGATCCTGACTCAGATGCTTTTAGGTACCAAAAGAAACAACAGAGAAAGGGTTTCATACTGACATGTTATTATCATACATATACCTCATAATAACAGAAGTACAAAAAGCAGATGTTTCAATTCTGAAACGTAAACCAACATATTTCATAAAAATGGGTACTCTCAGAGAAAGATAATGATCAACAAAAAGAGTCTTTCTTACCAACACACTTCAATTCCATTATAATGTACCATTAAATTTACTCCTATCAAAACACTGCTGTTAATTAAGGCCAAGAAACTGCCGTGAAAATAATTCTCATAAAAGATCAGAATTCAACAAAAGATATGAAACGGCTTAATTTTTGAAAGGTATGTTATTTAATGTAATGTTGAAATAAATATTTAAATTTTACCAAGAGTAAAAAGATTTTCATCGCCAATTTTGTAGGTCGTTGGTGAGGCCTGATACAAGAAACACTGACCTATCTGTAGAAAAAAAATCTAAACCAATAAAACAAATGGGAAACAAAAGGGAAAATTTAATTCCAGGTTTAAAATGTATTAGCCGAGGGGGGAAAGATGGTGGAGGAGTAGGGGACCCTATTTCAGCTGGTCCCCGGAATTGAGCTGGATATCTACCAGACCACTCTGAGCACACACGAAACCAGCCTGAGATGTAAGAAGATCTGGATCTCTACAAACAGAATATCACAGGCGGTTGGTTTTGAGGTAGGAAGCGGGGAGCCGTGATTCCGTGGGCAGATATCGGAGGATAAACGGCAGCGGGAGGGAGCCTGGCCGTGGGGATCCTACACCGCTGGTGAGTGACAGCCTCACGCGATGCGGATGGGCACAGACTCGCAGACCAGTAGCAGCGGGGAAAGGACTTTAGGGCAGCCCCCGGGACGGAAACCCAGAGCTGCGGAGTCGCACACATGCGAACTGCAGCCCCCGGGATGGAAACCCGGAGCGCCAGGGTCGCACCGGTGAATTGCAGCCCCGGGGGTGGAAACCCGAAGCGACAGAGTCCCGCGCACGCGAACTGCAGCCCCTGGGACGGAAACCGAAGCAGCGGAGTCGCACTGGCGCGAACTAGGAGCGGCTGGCAGTTTTAGAAGCACAAAGAGCAGAGACGTGCCCCGACCTGGAGGCAGGACTGGGAGCGCTGCGGAGGGGCGCACAACCCAGGATGCTGCAGTCTATAGCAGCACGGACAGAAACGGAGAC